TGGGACTGGACTCTTGCGAAAGAAGCACAAAGAGCAGTAGAGCAATGCCTTGATTCTAACCTGTATGTTAAAACAGATCTGGTGGGGAATGTGAATACTGCTCGCATAAATATCGAGGACGCGGGAAATTTTGAAGCTAATGCTGTCGATGCTGTCCGTTTATTTTACATTCAGAAATTTCTTTATTTTACTCATACTACTTCCATTCCTAGGCTATCAAGAAGTGGTGGAAACCAGTGCTTGATTCCACTGTTTTGGCTCCTGATGTTATACTTAGAAGAGAAGTTTATGAAAAACTTCATAGCTTCATTAAGGTAATGCAGGCAGAGTGAGGATTTATCAAATGATAATTTTATAAGGATATATGCTCATTTGGCAGATGGCCTATCTAGACAGCCATAAAGTGGGCTGTGCTGTCAAGATGTGTGACTCTGACTATCTCGTCAAATGCATCTACCGAGAAGTGTAAGCATTTAACCTATTTTTACTACAATATGTGATAATTGATGGAATGTGCAGGCCACATCAACCAGACGTACCACTCTATATGCCTGGTGAAGTTTGCAGCGATTGTAAGGCAGAGTATAATGAGGTGTGCGAAGTGGAAGAAGGACTTTGCGAAGTACTCGACAACAAATCGGCTTAGGAAATTCTATTCAAACTCAGCCGAATGCAGACCGTATTCTGAAATAAACGTTATTTGTGCATCTTTCATGTTCCTTTAATATCATACATTAGAACAACAACTTGGATCACTTAAAGCAAATTGAACCAAAGTTTATAACTGCTACGTTTTAGTCAAAGATTGCTGGTTTACTACTGGAAAAAGGCCAGGCACTGCATAACCATCAAGTTCTACGTAAAAGTTGGCCATCAATATGTCTGTTGGACACTACAGACGCTATTTACTAGTAGTTGTATGTGCTTCTTAGACAGAGGTCGTAACAGTTATTTTAACACATGTGAATTGGTGGTGGAGCGAATGCATTGCGGCTAATTCACTTGCTTAAGATAAGTATTTACTCAATTAATGGCAATAGATGGAACGGAGAAATAGATATCCTCAAATATTGTTGAGTGATACCTGGACAGGTGACTCTTAAGATTTTGTATAAGCAAATATTGAGATGGTTGGTGTTTGGTATGGTTTGCTGTGAATGCTGCACTTTCCTTAGTTCGCATTAGTGGGCGAGGTTACTCTTTTGTAACCGGTTGTTCTGCAGTAAGACTAGACGGTCGAACTTTTTCTCTCAATTCCAATTGTAAGTTACACTTACCATTAAGCTTCACAATTTTCCAACCTGACAAACTATAGCTCTCGTTGAGTAGGTCGAACCGCCTTTGCATTTAAGGCAGTCTCAAATTAATAAGTGAGGACTATAGCAGCAAAAATGCCTTCATTGAATTGTACGGTATCCTCGTGTAAAACATCATTTGACGGCAGATGTGTGCGTGAACATCAAAACTTACACTTTGCTCAGTGAGTGCCATAGGTTCGATACTCCAGAGGCAAGAGAACGAAAGTGATAGTGATTTTAATTAAGGACCATTCAAAAAGTGATGGTGGTTTTTGATATGCTATGGTAGCTGAAAAGGAAATAAGGAAATGTTCTTGATTCAAAAAGCAATCAATGGGAAGCTTTTTTCTCAAACAGAAGTCAATAAAAAATGTTGCAAAAATGACATAACACTTCCTTCAAACATTCTCCAATCATTTTCTTCGTCCCCTTCTTTTTCGTGCATATACCTCCAAAAAATTGTGGAGCTAGAGTCGTCTTTTTACATAAATTGAAATTGTGAACAATATTGACATGATTTAACGTGTTTCAACGTGTTTGACACTCTTACATTCTTGAGCAGTCATTTCAATTTTGAACTTTTGCGCTTTAATTGCATATGTTTTTCTGTTTGGGACCAACCAAGGGCAGAAAACAGGGGAAACGCGGGGAAAAACAAAGAAATTTATGGGATTACGAGAGTGGTCACGTGAGATGCATGGTAGTGTCCTAAAACTATAAAGTTA